GTCAAATTTAAAATGTTGGTTACACTTGTATATCATGTACAAATAAGGTTAAAATGGGGATATAACGTTTCAAAAAAATTGGGGATAGGGATATAACTCAGTTGGGATATAAGTGAGGTAAAGTTTATATCAAAATAATATAGGGAAATCCATCATGGCCCATCAGTGGGATTTAATCAAGGATGGGATATAAACAAGGGGAGATATAAAAGAGGTATGACTGTACTCGGAAGATCTACACAAATTTGGACCAAAAATCCCTGTACGTTTAAGGGATAGTTGGTTAAAAGCTTGCAATTGGTGTTATATGTGACGCAAAACACAATTCATGATGCAAGAGATGTAGGACGTAAGACGTAACTCAAGAAAATTCGTGACGCAATACATAATTAAAGACACAAGGCTAATGGATGATGCCGGAACCAACCCATAGTTTAGGCCTAATTTTGCGGCGAAGTTGGCGAAACCTAAACTGCAGGTGAAAATCAAGCGGTCAATTAAACTCTACTGTTTTAATTTCCGACCACAAAAGTGTTTTATTGAGCAAAAAAAAAAGAATTGATTTGTTTTATTATTACAAAACGAATTAGGTCAAAAAATGACATTATTTTTATGATAATCATAATCTTTTTTAATAAATATATGAAAAATAATAAAAATGCAATTATAAAAAATACAAAACGAAAGAGACTATACAGATCACATGTCCGGGATACAATTGGACGGCACTTCGATAAATCCGTTTTATTTATCATAGAATTTTGCTCATAGGTCTGACAATTTAACCACAGTTTAGGAGTTTGCACATAGTTTAGGTAATTTTTAAGTTTCGTCACTAGTTTAGGTGCCTAAATTCCTAATTTCTACAGGTAAAATATTTCAGATTTGCTAAAATAATTTCAGTCATCATCACTACAAAAGGCATAATCATGATATGAGTATGAATTAATTCAAATTTTAACCACATATAAAAACTTTTTAATTTTTTAATTTTTAATTTAACATCAATGCTTCATAGCTAAAAAGGTTTTGTTAGCTAATGAATCATGTTTCCAGCATGAGTTGAGACTTGCATCATGAATTGCATCTTATGTCAGTTGTATAAAATCATGCAATGCAAATTTTTGGGATTTTTAATTGCAATTTAATAATTTTGACCTCAAGTATAATTAGTAGTCCAAAAAAATTTCGGGTTTCGGGTCGGGTTCGGGGTTTCGGTTCGGTCCCAACCAACAACCCGAACCCGGCCCAAAAACTTTCGGGTTAGGCCGGCCCGTTTCGGAGCTTTAATCTTGAATGAATTATCCAATCGATACCCAAAGATCTATAAGATCGATATCCCTCTTATGTTTTCCCAGGCTGAGGCTCTATCCCTACGAACTGAGGGATAAAGGTGTAACCTTTTGGAAATTGTTCGCACGGGCTGAATGAATTCATTCAATTGACAATAAAATTTTTTACATAATAATTTTAATAAACTTTATAGTTATAAAATAGATAAAGAAGAGCAATTAATTACCAAAGCATCAGGAATGAGTTCAATATTTACGAAGTTTTATTATATGCAACTTATTTTACTTGCTGTTTTTTTTATTATGCCTTTCCTATAAAATTATTAATGGAATATGTACGGTTCATGTACTGTTTTTCTGTATGTTATTTTTTATAGTGATGGTAGGAAAACCTTAACCGGCTAAGAACTTAATAAATCCCAATTGATAAAAAAACTTTTCAGATGGTACTGAGCTTGCTGGTGTCATTATTACTACTGCTATCGTTATTATTGCTATAATTATATTCACTATTGTTATCCTACCTTTAATGGTTCAAATAAGGTTTATTTGAATTATTTGTATTATTCATTATGAATTTGAATATTTTTGAATAAACGAATAAAAACGAATAATAATAATTCGAATTACATATGTAAACTCGATAAGTCGGTCATGTGGTGGTGAGCTAATATGGCCGACTTATCGAATTAAATTACTTAAATATTAAGAAAATGGGGTGAAAATTTTGGCCGACTTATCGCGAGACCGACTTATCGAGTTTACATATGTAAAATAAAGATTTGTATTATATCCTGTTATCATATATTGTATTTATTTTTTAGCAAATATATGTTTTTTGTCATTCTAAGTAACGCAGATGGACCCATCTCGACTAAATGTCTATGCCACTGGATTCTGCGCTTGTAAAAATGCATATTAAGAGAAATTTTTTTTTAGCCGGCTAACATCACATAATATGTGGAAGGAGGGTATGTTATTTAAGGAGCTAGAGATTTTCTTTTTTTAAATTTAAGAATTTACTTAAAAAATTGTTTATACCATTCGTTGAAGAATATTCAAAGGGTGTGGCATTTTTAAGATTACGCTATTTGGATCCCTGAATTATAATAAATCAATAATCATGTATTTTTCCGCAAAAATCATCTAAATAAGGATAACACGCACCCAACCCACCAATAAAATTGGATATTTTCATGATGCTGCGCAAATTTGCGGGATAATTTTTGCGGAAAAATACATGATTTTAAGAAATCATGCCTAAAAAATTATCTAAAGAATTTTTTCAAGCACTTGGTTGCTTTGATTACAATGCAGCAAACAAATTATCAACCAAGATTTCAAAAGTAAGTTTTAATAAACCAAACCATCAGAATCATTATTAATCAATGAAAAATATGTAATCATATTATAAAATCCGTTAGTTAAATGTAATTTTAGGCAATCTATTTACAACATTAATAAAATGTGAACAATCTTATACTTCATTAGAATACGTGAAAACAAAATCCACAAAGAAAGAAGAAGTAAGGTGTTATATATATATGCACACATATATTTTACTTAATAAAGAATAAATTGCTTATTATTTATTATTTTTAATATAAAATAATAATAGTATTTGAATAACTTATATTTGGAAGCATATAATATAATAAATAATTTAATTAAAAATGTCACCAATCCTTTTTCTTTAAATAATAATAACAACAACAACAACATTGTTATTAATAATAACAATGATAATAATAATAATCAATTACACTTGGAAGCTCTGATTGAATTAAGTGAAAACTTACAAGATTTCATTAAAATTCGTCAATCTCAAATTTTAATGTAAAAAATTTTTTTTAATCACAAAATATTCTAAAGTAAATATTTATTTATACCCATATATTAATATCAATATTTTAGATATCAAGCAATTCCCATTAATTTTCCAAACATTAATCCAGAAAGTTTAGTCAAAGAAATTGAAGAAGTTTTAACAAAAATCAATGAGATAAAATTAAATGAAAAATTAGGACCATTGGGGATTGGGGTTGAGTATGTAATTAATAATGATGATAGTAATAAGATGATGATAATGATAATAATTTTTTTATGTTATTAGGAAAGAAGTCTTTTTATTAAAACATCTTTTTCTAGCACGTAAAGCAATTGCGTATTATAATTTTAAAGATTCAACCATTAATCTTTTCAAGGCAAAGATTAATCTTACATCATGGAAAGATATTTGCTCACAACAGATATATTCAGAAGTAACTTAATCTATTATTTCTGGTTAATATAAGGAATATCTAAAATTCAATATTAATTCATTATTCATTTTTTTTTCATGTAGAAATCAAGTAGCAAGAGTGAAGAATCTACAAGTTCATTTTTTCAAAGTTTCTTTTCTTCTAGTTCTGATGTAAGATGTAATTTTAATTGTTACATTATATTTATATCTATATTAAAATTAAATTAAATTTTATTATTGAATAGAAGCAGACAAAAAACATAAAACGTGGAAATGATTCTCCTAATCATATAAAATGGCTTGAAAAATTTTTAACTAGTCTAACAGCTAAAATGACATTATATTTTATGGATATTTTGTTAGAAAGAGAAAAATCCCCTACAAATATTAAATCTTTGTGGAGAAGAATTGATATAGATTATTATGGATTGTTAGTAAATATAGAATTTTTATTAGAATTTTTTGGGATAAAGATTTTGTTTGATTGACTTGTTGATTTCTTCTTAATTAGGATTCGTAATTTTCAAAAAAAATCTGGTGCGCTTAGTATTTTGCTAATATATGAAGTATCAGATGATATTCCATTTTATCCACAGGGTTATGTATGTGGTGGACTGAAATATGAGAAACCAATTGGCTTAAGCTCCTTTCCATGTATTTACAGTTATCCAAAGGTAAAGAATAATGATAATGTCTATCAGTAATAATATCTATCAATATCCATTCATATTATTCTTCCTCTTCTTAGGAAACACCTTCAAATCATTGGGCAAATATTATTTCTATTATGCATGACAAAGATCCATCAAAACACACATTATTTAATCATGTAAACCCAATATATTTTTTTGATAAAAAATTTGGAAGTTCATATTATTATATTAGAATTGATGAATTTGTTGTTCTAGTGATAATATTTTTAGAAAAGAATTCTACAAGAGATAATAATACAATAGATTTTATAACAAGTTTAGCAAAAAAATTAAGCGATTTAGAAATATTAACAAGTTTAGTTAATGGTCAAATTAATTGATTGATTTTTTTTATCTTCTTCCTCCAAATGAAATATTTTTAATTTTTAATTTTTTCATTGATTCTGTTAAATTATCAACATCCATCAAATCAGAGGATTCAATGTTATTTTTATCATTACTGCTGTTATCATTACTATTATTATTATCATTATTGGCATCAAGTTTTTTGCCTTATTTTTTTCATTCTTTTTCTTTTAATATAATTTAATTTATTTCCAATACTGTATGGAACTTTATGGTTGCTTGCCAAGACTCCTCCAGAAATCAATCATCAGGATTTTGACATGTCACACACTAATTGTTTATTAGAGTTTCAGCAGTCATTAAAAGGTTTTGGCAAGCAACCTTAAATATGACCACATGACCATTGGTCATTAAGAAAATTTCCTATTCCTTGTTACATGATAAAAATTAAATTTTTGTTTCCCCTTCCAAATTTGGAAACGATTTTTTAAAAATTTCAAATCGTGCAGATCATCTATAATCATTAATTCAAAAAAAATTATATCATTTTAAAAAATTTAACTGATAAGTTTTATTTTTCATGACTCAAGCTTCAAAACTTATTGGCTGGTTTTTCTTAAACTGAAAATTGGCTGAGCCTTAGCATTTTGAAAATTCCGAATTTTGTTATACATTTAAGAAATTGAGACTAAGTAAATTTCGTGTAACAAATTTTTTTTTCATAGAATATTTTCTACAACATACATTTGATTTATTTGATTTATTTATTTCCTTTTTTTATTAATAAATAAAAGTTCTTTACAACAAAAAAGTTTAACGAACACATTACATTAAAAGAAAATCATTACCAAATTTGGTCGTGAGATTCAAATATTGTAATACGAAAATTATTTCAAATTTAAAAAATCTATGAAAAGAAAATTCGAGACAAATTTTTTTTTAGATTAATAGGCTCCCCTTTTAAAGCTGAATTAAATGGTGGTAAGTTTTTTAAAATTCAATGTGTGGATCACATAATATTTCAAAAATTTTAACTTTTGAGTATAGATGATCCGCACTGTATTTTGAAATTTGGTCTCATGGCGCAGCAATAGGAGGTCTTTAGACCGAGCCAACCATATTATTATTATTACCAAATAAACCGAAAAATTGGTACAAGAGTAGTCTATATAAAAAACTAGGCGACGATTTTTTGAATTTACTATGCTTGCTTGATTATTAAAAAAAACCCCGGTTTTAAAATAAAATAAAATGAATGAACGAAAATGAAAAATTTAAGCACTATAAGTGATAGAATAAATTTCAAAGTTTTCGTTTGTTATGTACTATCTTTTTTATGGCTGTAGCTAAAATTAGCAGTGGACTAGATAAATTTTATTATGATGCAGTTCATCTAAAAATTAATGATATTTGAAAACACGTGACTCCAACCCAGACACCAGATTTGCGTAATTTTGCATAGGGTGTTAGATATAAGTAAATCAGTGTTGGAAATTTTCGGTTCCAGTAGAAAAATCACTGGAACAGTTTGGAAACATCACTGGAACCAATGAAAAATTGTGTAAATTTATTAAAGCTCCTAACGGTTCGGTTCGAACCGGTTTTATGGGTAAACCGAAACCGAACCGAACCGAACTTTCGGTTTATAGACCAAAACCGAACCGAATTTCTTGCATACAAACCGAAACCGAACCGAATTTATTTTTTTAAACCAATAAAAATTTAAATTTGATAGTGTTACCGGAATTAGAATTCATTGGCTGAAATTCTTTAATCTATTTCGGGATTAAATCATTGAATCGCAATTACACAAAGAAGTTTACCAATAGCCTATTCATCCTGATCCACATAATTGAAATTTCTTTGTTATCATCAATTAACTATGCTCCTCTCCAACTTCTTCACTATTATAAATAGGAGAACTATTGTCAGGTGAATTATTATCAAGAGAATTATGTAATTCATTCATGAAGAAATCAATAGCTGACGGTAAAATTGAAGGAGAGGAATTAATTATTAATTATTATTAGAGAATTGTTATTCGCACCCCTCCCGTGACTAAGACAAAGATGAACCAATAAAATCATCACATTTTAAAGCCATTCATTGGTCACATTACTACACTTAGTCACGGGAGGGGTGCGAATAACAATTCCCTATTATTATTATTTTTTTTTGATTATATACTGTATATTAATATATATTTTTTATTTATCGGAAAAAAAAATTTTTTTTTGTGTGTTCAATAATAATAATAATTTAAAAACCGAAACCGAACCGTTCGGAGCTTTAAAATTTACATATAAATAATATGTAATAATGAATAATAATGGGTAATGTCACTACCACTATATAGTTCTTTTTTCTTTTGGGTCAGACTTTATGACAAAGCTTGAATGATGTCAATTTTTCAAATAATTATCTTTTTTTTGTACATGGCCCCATGTGATGATATCATATAACCATTTTGTAGATGTTCACCTTGTGGTTACAAGTTCCACAACTAATTATAATGTAAAAGATTTTTTTAAAAAAATGAGTAGTAGACACACAGGTGGAAAATCTTTGCATGTCTTACAAATATGTTGTAACAAAAAGAAAGTTAATTGCTGGTTAAAATATAAATAATGTAATATCACAAATAGGGATGATATAGTTGGAATAAAATTAACTTTTTAAAATAATTATTTGTGAAAAAAATTTTTTACACATGGTGTGGTTTTACCTAATGGTGATGATGATAATAATAATATATTATTGACTAATTATTATAAACCATTCCATTATATATATTATAAATTAATAAATCTGAAAATTTTTTCTTGCTTGAATGTTGAATCATCATTTATTCATAGTGATCTCTTCATTATTACTAGATGATGACAATGTCACTTCATGTGAATCCTCTTCTATCAATATATTACTATCAACAACAGTACCTAATAATAAAAAATAAAAAATAAATCATTCATAATAAGAAAATCAAAACTAAGAAATGAATAATTAACAAATTTTTTTTACAAGCCAGTCAATTAACTTCTCAATATTACCCTCATACCTTTATGAACAAACTCCAATGTCATTGCTATTTCTCTCGTATCTCTCTCTACAACTTCTGCCCAATTCTGTACATTACCTAATTCCTAATTATGTTTAAGTATAAATCTTAATCAAAAAAAAAATTTTTACAAGACAAAAACTTGAATATATACTTTTATTGCTGTGTTAAATAAATTTAACATATTCAACCATTGTTTAGTTTGCTTGGTATATTTAGCAGATTGTGATAATAGATGTCGACTTTCTGATTCTATTTCACGTTGAGTTTTGAATATTGATGCTACTCTTTTTAATTTATTATTTTAAAAATTGATTGATTGATTGATTGTGTCAATTGTAATATTAATTATTTCTTATGAATTTAATTTGATATCTAACCAAATTAAAATGTAAAAAAATATCATTCATTCTTTAATTTATCCATGTATGTACCTTTCGTTTAAAGTGTCTGACAAAGAATCTGTCACTCCATTTACTGCTTGAATAGCCTCTTTTCGAAGTTGTTCTATGTATGATGGAACAAATTTTGTTGTTAGTGGTTTTGCATTTGTGGAAATGTCATATTACATAATAAAACCATATAGGTAATAATCAATTAGTTATTTAACAATAGCATTATACCATTATTACGTCTTACAGACTGTTGTTTTTGTGTATGTTCTCTAACGAGTCGTGAAAGCATGCTTAAAAAAAAAGAAATAAATGATCACAGAAAATTGCAAATCACATGCTGCTCATTCTTAATTATGATTGGACCAAATATTAAAATGGGTCATACACTTTCAAAATATGCGTATTTAT